CAAGTTCTAGAGCCCAACTTGGATTCAAATCTAGACTCTGCCCATCTCTAGTGCTTGTCCTTTGAGCGAAACGACCTGAGCTCCCTGAGCCTTGAGTTTCCTTGTCCTGGGCAAGGAGGAATATCGAAACCATTTAGTCATCAAAAAATTAACTGAACAGGGGCACCTGGGTGGCTCAGTGTGTTAAAGCCTCTGCCTTCGGCTCAGGTCATGATCCCAGGGTCCTGGGAACGAGCCCCACATTGGGCTCTCTGCTCAATGGGGAGCCTGCTTCCTCCTCTTCTCTCTGCCTGCCTCTCTGCCTACTTCTTTCAAATAAATAATTTAAAATCTTAAAAAAAAAAATTAACTGAACACCTACTTACTTTGTGCCAGGCATAAGGCTGAGTTCTGGGGCTACGGCAGTGCACATGATAGGGAGGGTCCTCCGTATGGAAGGGCTTTGCTCCGCCAAGTATCTAGCAGTGACTGGCACACAAGCGGACTAAAAACACTACAGTCACTACTGTTAAAATCACAACACTGCCTGCGTGATTGTATGTGAATTTATGTTGCTTCCCATTATAAAGACTATTGGCTCATCTGGCTCGCGCCCTCCCGGTAAGGCTTCTTAGAGGCCAGGGGCTGGGCCGCAGAGTCACAGAGGGGCAGCGGGCGAGATGGAAGAACACAGGCTTTGGACCAGAAGATCTTGGCTTCAAAACCCTCTGCTGTCACTCACTAGCTCTGTCGCTCAGCCAGCAAGCCACTGCTGACCCTCCCACATCTGTTCTCTTCTCGGAACTCTCAGTTTTTAGCTGGTCAGAATTAAGGATGCCAAAAAAAAAAAAAAGAATTAAGGATGCCATTTCTCAGGCCCCCTTGCAGCCGAGTACAGTCATGCACTCAAGTTCTAGCCAACAGGGGTATAAGCAGAAGAGGGAGAGCAACCTTCCAGAAATGTCCTTAAATTATGAAGTCTTGCCCTTTGCCAATCCTTTACCCCCTTCATGATGGCTGGGGCTAGCACAGCCATCTCAGATCATGCCATGACCTTGGGAATGGAGGCATGCACGAGGGACAAGACAGAAGGGGCCTGGATCCCTGCCACTGTGGAACACCATATTGAGCTGGTACAGTAGTCTTCCTGAGGCAGGTTCCTTAACCTCCCTGGACCTCAGTGGCTCCATCTACACACAGGTGATGCTGGGAGTCCTCTATCCAGTGAGTGTACGTGGAGGACTTCATGAGATGGGGCTCGAGTCACAGCCAAGGCCAGAGCAAGGAGAGGTGGTATCATTACTGTTCTTCCCTTACTGCAATGCAAAGTACAGGGCACGGGGGCATCTTAACACAGCCTGGGGGGCATAGTGGTGACTCAGTAATTCGCAGGGTTGAAAGGCCTCCTAGCCGGTCTAGCCCTCCTGATAATAGGCACCCCGGTGTCCCCAGGAAAGGGACAGTGTACCACCCCTGCAACAACTGCTAGGATGGTACTTGTTCACCCATAAATCACGACCTTCAGAACTCATCCCCTGACCACCCCCAAGCTGCTTCACTTGTGTCTTCTGCCTTTGATCATGAGTCCTGCCTCTGAGCTCACTCTCATCAGAACATCAAAGTTCCCTTCAATCTCTTTTGGAAGAACCCTCTGGCCTCTTCCCTAGCTAACGGCATGGTAAGGGATCACTGCCTGGGTCCCATCCTATTCAAGGAAGCAGCCTCTCAAACTCTACACATGAAATTTGCCGCCGCTGGAGGAGAAGACGAATGGTCATGAGCCAGCTACAGGTTCTCCTGGGCTGATCCACAGATGTCCCAATCTCCTCTTTCCAGGCTCACACTTCTAAAGCTATTTCGTCTTGTTTGCAACATCAGCACTGGCCTAGGAGGCATAACTCTTCATGGCTATGCAAAACCGAAATCTGCTTTATGGGCCTGAAACTTACAATCATCTTTCTTGATTGTCCCCTTCCTGTTCTTGCAGACACAAATCCTAGTCTGTCTCTCCCACATGGCTCTCATTTTGCCATGTCCCTGTCACTCATGCAGGCTGCTGCCTGGCACAGCCCCGGCCCCCTCCCCCTCTCTCCTCATTCCCTCCTTTTTCACACGCACGCCCACAGTCATGCCACGGTCACACCAGCCCCTGCTCGTGCTTGCTCTCACTCTCTCTCTCTCATCTTCTGCCCCTCTGGCTCCGCCCATTCTCAGCAATGGAGACTTCACTAACCCTCGTGGCTCAACCAGGCCTGGGCATCAGGTGGCTCTGGAATTGGCACAAGGGTGGCCGTGGCAGCCAGTGGCTCCCAAGCTGGGTGGGGCAGCCAGCGCTGCAAGAGGAAGAGACAAGACATAGCGGTCACTGTGGCTTCGGGGAGGACAGACACAAGGGCAGGAGTCAGCCCCCAGACAAGCCGAAAAGGAGGAACCTGATCCAAATACCCGACGCGGGCAAAGGAAGGGGGAACAAAGCGTGGGTCCACAAGTGTCCACAAGTGCGGAGGGAGTTGCTGGCATGTGGGAGATGGACGCCGGGTCCGCCCTCAGGGACTGTCACCGGGCTTTCTGACTCAAACTGCTGTTTCTGGAGGCTGACAGCACCTGTACCCGCGCCACTGTGCAGAGTACTTAGCCTCATCCTACTTTGTACAAACAAAATTTGATTCTGGGTGTGTGACCCACATGAGCACAAAACCTTGGGATTCTTTGCCCTTTGAAATTCACATTACACATTAATTTACATTACACAGCAAGAATGCTGACGCATGAATCAGCCCACACCAGACTGCAAGGAGGAAATAAGACCCCCAACCTGGGTTTTGTTCCCTCCCTAGACACCTCCAGTTCTCCAAGGTTAGCAGGGGGGATAGCAAGAGCCCTCCCCACCCCTGCTGACGGTCACGCGGTGATGGGAGAGGTTGAGCCTTCAGCAGCAGGAGGTAAAGCACCAGGCACACCCACTTCTGAACCTTCCCACCCTCACCCACGGCGGGTCCTCTGGTGGAGGCCAGTGCTCCCCTTCACCGCCACCCTGAGGCTCCTTTCCTTCCCTCCCCGGCACCTGTTTCTAAGGGGGCGAGAGGGGAGGCAAGAGAAGAGTGTCAGGGCCCAAGGACCAGTCCACAGAGTGGCCCAGAGGGTGAGCAGCAGAGGGACCTGCAGGAAGCCTCCCATTTCTAGAGCAGCCGGAACAAACAAAAGGCACAAATGTCCCATTTCCTTGTTTTGCCATTGGTGGCTCCTTCTCCTGCCCTGGGCCCCACCCTTCCACCCAGCCCTCTATCCCGCCTTAGCCATCCCACCCTCCTCCAACTCCCCAGGGCCTTCCTTGTTTGTCCTCTTGAATCCACAGGAATCACTAATTACTGATTTAAACGCAGACACGAAGTCAATGACAAATGCAGTATGAACAAGTATCAATGGGATATTCAGGACTGGTGCACAGAGAGCTATCGGCTTTCTTAACTCTGCCTGAACAGAAGGGAGACACGGGGACACCTTATCCTCACCCACCCCAGAGCACAGCACCGACGAACCTGCCTGGGGACCCTGTGTCTGAGTGTGTGCGGGAGCGGGCAGGGCTGGCACTAATGAACTCACACACTGGTTCTTTCACTTGGAACTACCTTGAGAGCAGAAAGACTGATGCCTGGCTCACCCTCCCGGAGAATCTGGTTTCATTGGTCTGGGGCTGCTGCCGGAGATCGGGACTTTTAAAAGCTTCCCCCAGGGATTACGACATGCACCCAAGTTTAAGAATCACTGACTACACACGTTTATTATGTGTTCCAGACATTTTTCAAAGTAGTCAAGGTATTCAGGACACCTTATAGGCTTTCACTGTCAAGAGAGTCCTTGGAGGGATCATCCCATTTTACTGAGGTCTATAGGGCCATCACGATGAGGCTCAGATTCAAATCAGGCTCTCAAACTCCAAAACCTGTTCTTTCCACCCAACTGTGAAGTCCTACAAGCATACAAACAACGCACCAGAGCAATCTCCACTGCCAGCAGGTCATGAATAAACTCCGTAAATGCCAAATATCTAGATTCGGAAATGCAGACACCATAGGCAGCCATGGTGACCTCTTTACGCAGGGGACAGAAGCACACAGAGAGGTCAGACAGTGGGCTCCTGTGCGAGCTCTGAGGAGATGGACAGGATGCATCAGATCGTGGCTAGGAAGTTTATCCTAGACCCCAGATGTGTCCTCAGATACTACACACAAGCTGATGTTTGATGGTATAGAAAGTATGGGCAAGGGGGCACGGGGGCTCTGCAATGGGAAGGGGATCCCTGGGGCAGGTATCAAGGGTTTACCTCTTGGGACCACAGTTCCTCAGCCTGCTCTAAGCATTCTGGCCTTCTGTAGGGGCACCAAAACCATTCCTAACACATTCCCTCGCAAGCAGCTTCCCCTCCTCCAGTCTCTCTTCTTCCAGAACTACGCTCTGAGTTTCCTTGGTGAGGGGACATAAGACTGGGATCCTAAAACACTTTTAGGCTCCAGGTCACTCAGGCAGGGCAATGCATCCCTTCGCCACCCTATTTCCACCCATGACTACTCCCCCCTCCCCCCCGCCACAAAAAAAGGCAAAAAACAACAAAAAACGCAGCCTCATTACCACCAAACCAACTTTCCCCACAGTAAGAATAACGGTGCCACTTTGAATTTGGAATTAGTGTGGACAGCGGATAAGACACTGAAGTTTATAAGGTACATGGAGCCCCTAAACCACTAACATGCAGATGGAGGGATCTCACCGCAAGGCAAGGCTGGGAACAGACACTTCAAGGACAGTAGATGTTCCTTCTTAAAGACAGCAAACAATATCTCACCGTTCCTCCCGGGTCAGAATAGGGCCTCTTGGTACCCTAGTCCAACCTATGATACATAACTGCTGTGTGCCGGTGTCCCCCAAGCCAAGTGTTGATGGGAAAGAACCACAAGGAATTACAGGAACCAACAGCAGGTTAAACTTTCACATCGATCGCACTGATAAGCAGAGCCACTTACCCAGCACAGCCAGACAACTCAGCACTGGGAAAAAGCACTTCATGTCGGCAGCAGAGAAGAGACACAACACAGGACGCTCCCTCTTCTCTCGCACTTAATCTCTCATTTCTGGCAATCCACTTATAGCTCCAGAGGACAGTTTTGGAAATAGAACGTAACTCAAAAAATGAAAACAGGTTAAAGAGAAGAGATCAACAAGATGGGGGGGAGGGGGGCGGCCAGTGGCTTGTGTTGAACTCCCCTATGCTAAAAGAAGGGTCCAGAACAATTCTGAAGGCCCTCTAGGCTTCTGCCACATCGTGTGCCTTGCGGTTTCCACTGGAATTGTAGACTGCAGTGAATTAATCCTCAAGGAATAGGGAAAAAAGAGTCTGAGAAAATCCTTTCATCCACTGATTATACAGAAATGTCCTTGGCTTCCCAGTGAAGGTGTCTGTAAGCTCCCTCATTCGGATTCCCCAAAGGAAACAGGGCAGGTTTTGTCAAAACCTCTGACAGCTAAATCGCCCCGGAATGGCACCGACTGTCTGGGTTTCTTCATCAAAAAGTCCGTCTCCATCCATGTCGGTAGGTCAGGGAGCTGCCACCTGCCCCACACCTACCCAGAACACACGAAGCAAGTTGGCGTTCAGCGGCCCCGAGGCGAAGCCGGTCCCACAATGCCAGCAGATTTCTAAAACAAACAACAGAGATGTATCAAAGGCGAACACCAGCGCCGCAAAACCGAGAGGCGCTGAGCGCTGGGCTGCTCTGGACGCCTGGGTCCCGTTCCCGGATCAGGACAGTCAACCCGGGCGTTCTGACCTTGGGCAAGTCGCTACACTGGCCCCCGCCTCAGTTTCCCTGCCCACAGCAGGGCAAATGCGGGAAGCCCGATTGTTCCAGCAATACTTTGCCCACACGCCTCACTCCAGGGAATTCCCTTCGCCTCCTGCCGAGCCCGGCGCCGCGGGGAGCCCCACCCTTCGCGGGGGCACAGCGGGAGGGGGCTCCGACGTGGGGCCGCCACTCCCGGTGCCACCTCCGGCCCCCGCCCCAAACGTGGGAGCTCCGCGCGCGCCGCGTCCCAGGTGGCCCCGCTATTGTTTTACCTTCCCGGGTGTTTATTTTCGCTGATTGGAAAGAAAAGAGACGGAGGAAGAAGGGAGCGGGGGCTGCGCTTTCCGGGGCCGGGGCGCGCTCACCGCGCGCCCGACCGGCCAGGGAAGGGTCTCGGGCCCGACCCCCGAGCGGAGCCGGCCCCGCGCCCGCCGCCGCCCTCCCCGCCCCCTGCCCCGGGTTCCCGGCTGCCCGCGCCGCAGCCCCTCCGCGCGCCGCCCGCGCTCCCACCGGATACTGACCTCGCCCCCGGCCCTCTCCCTCCGTGCGTCGGTCCGGCGGCTAGCAGTCTGGGCGCACGCCTCCGGGGACGCGCCGCCTTCTCCCTCTCCCCCCGCAGCCGCACCGGCAGCCGCGCTCCGGCCCCTCCCGAGTCCCCGCCCCTCCAGCCCGGCCCGCTGCACCCGGTGGAGCAGCGCGCGGGGCGAGGGCGGTGGCCTGGGCGAGAAGCCCCGCCCTTGGCCCACCCCTTCCCCCGCCCCCGGAGAAGAGTGGCCCGTCCCAGAGGCCCGGTGGGGGGCGGGGGGGACGCGGGGGCCGCTGGTTTCTGGGGCGCACCTGCCCAGGGCAAGAGCCGCCCCAGGGCCTGGGCACAGGGAGCGTGTGGGCCGGACAGCTCTGAAAGTTAAGTAGGGCGTCACACGCAGGCTACGGCGCTGTGGGCAAGAAGCACAAGGCCCTTCCCAAAGCCCAGCAAAGTACCATGAGCCTTGAAGTGGGCGGCAAGGGAGCAGTGTCCTCTCTCCCGGAAATAAAACAAAGCCCTTAGCAGGGGACTTGAATCCCTTCATGTAGTGGAACCCCATATAGTGCTTCATTCTAGGGCAGAACTTCCTAGAAGTTGTGGCCGAACTGGACTATGGACCCAACCTGGGTTCTAACCCTGGTTCTTCCACGTCCTTGCGGCCGACCTTGGAGTTACTTCACCTCTCTGGACCTTAGTTTCCCCGTCTGTTGTATGGGGAAATAGCCCGCCCCTACTAAATAGGGTTATGGGAGTTGTCCATGGCACACTTGTAAAGCACTTCAGAATGGAGCCTGTCCCATCTTAAGCACTTGGTAAATGTAAGATACAATTATTTTATGAGGAACAGCCCTATCCAAACAAGTGCATTTTCATCCATTCAATACTTAATGAATACACATGCCTTCTGGGTAGGAATGGTCAAAAGGTAACCAAGATAGAGGAAGACAGTCCTGCCCTCCTGGAGTTTGCAGTCTAGTGGGGAGACTATAAAAGGAGTAAGGCAAGAAAAGAACAAAGGGTTGAGGAAGCACATTCTAGGGCCCGGATCCTGTGTTGCTGGGTTGGGACAGGAGGAGGAGGGCTTTGGTCAAATCAGGTCAGGTGCCAGGAAGGCTTCCTGGAGGAAATGAAAACAGGTAGAATCCAAAAGAGCAGAAGGAGGCTCCGGAGGAAGGAGAGGAAGGAGAGAAAGAGTAACTGAGTCTGGACCCTGAATCAGTACCCTCCAAGACCTAGAGGGAGGAGAGAGCGGTCCAGTTAGAAAACCCGAAATCTCTGCTGGGCACAAATTAGGCTGTAAGAAAGTGGCAAGAAATGGCAGAGAAGAAATCTGGTGCCAGAAGCTAGAGGACTTTGTATGGTGTTTTAAGGGGTTTGGACTTCAGGGACCCCTGGGTAGCTCAGTCAGGCGGCGTGATCCTGGGGCACTGGGGTTGAGTCCCGCTTCGGGCTCCTTGCTCAGCAGGAAGCCTGCTTCTCCCTCTGCCTGCTGCTCCCCCTGCTTGTGCTCCCTCTCTCTCTCACACACATAAATGAAGTCTTTCAAAAAAGGGGGGGGTGGACTTTAGTCCAGGGCAATAGTGAAACCCCTGAAGGTTCTAAGCAAGGCAGTACCGTTCCCAGATGTACATTCTAAAAAGACCCCTCTGGCCTAGATGTGGAAGATGGGAGGGGAGTGCAGTTCGAGTAGGTGTTGCTGAAAATCCAGACAAGGGATCCTGGTGACCAGGACCACAGAAGTAGCAACAGGGAGGGAGAGACATGAGCAGGTCCCTTGGATGTCAGGAAGTAAACTCCATGGAATGCCAGGTTGAAGGTGAGGAATGGGGCAGAAAAACCAGCTCCCCCTCAAAAACTGAGATCCAGATACATAGGATAAGATTGGATGCATTGAGTTGGAGAGGCCCAAGAGTCATAGAAGGGAAGATGTCCAAAAAGCAGTTGGGGGGCGGGGTGTGGAGTTCAGAACTCAGAAAGAGACTGTGGGTTTATAAGATGTTTTTCGCTCTATTGTACAGTATGGTAATGAAAGGATTTTGTGAAGGAGAATACTGATAATTAATGTATTAAAAAATATATTAGTGGGTGCCTGGGTGGCTCAGTGGGTTAAAGCCTCTGCCTTCAGCTCAGGTCATGATCCCAGGGTCCTGGGATCGAGCCCCGCATCGGGCTCTCTGCTTGGCCGGGAGCCTGCTTCCCTTCCTCTCTCTCTGCCTGTCTCTCTGCCTACTTGTGATCTCTGTCTGTCAAATAAATAAATAAAATTTTAAAAAATTTAAAAAAATATATTAGTTACCCACTCCCCCAGTGTGCAAGGCAATGAAGAACATGCAGTGGGGAATTAAAAAAAAAAAAAAACAAAAACAAAAACTAAGGGGTCTCACTTGCCCTCCCTCACCCCTCTTCTTTGCAGGCAGGATCTATACTTTAATTACCTTTTATCCCAAACATCTCTCTCTCTCTTTTTTTCTTTAAAGATTTTATTTATTTAGTTGACAGAGAGATAGAGAGCACAAGTAAGCAGAGCAGCCAGGCAGAGGGAGAGGGAGAAGCAGGCTCTCCACTGAGCGGGGAGCCTGACACAGGGCTTGAGCCCAGGACTCTGATCATGACCTGAGCCAAAGGCAGACGCTTAAAAACGGAGCCACCCAGGTGCCCCTATCCCAAACATTTCTTGGCATTGTGATCTGTGTACAGTAAGCGCATTATAAGTACTTCAACTGAATTGAATATTTATCACATATACTGAGTGTTATATGGAAAATTTCTTCTTGTGCGTTAAATATTACCTCTTTCCCCCAAGACAACCCTGAATCTGACATCTCTCACTCCTCCTTATCTGCTAGACTCTTTCATTTATTTATTGAGCATATATTGTGTGCCAAGAAAATTCTCCACTCTCATTCGTGGCACTTATCTTAGTGGAAAACACAAACAATGAAATGAATAAATATGTAACATAACATGACATGTGTTCTTGGGAAAAGTGGGAGAAGGGGATCGTGTGTGTGTGTGTGGGATGGGGAGGAGTATTCTGTTATATGTGGGTGACCGGGGAAGATGACATCTCATTAGAAGGACTGAATGAGCCTTGGAGATTTCTGGAAGAAGAGCATTCCAAGCTTAGGAAACAGCAGGTGAAAAGTCCCTTAACATGCTCAGAACTATAAGGTGTGTTGGTGTGCCTGAAGGGACATGAGAGCAAAGGAGGAGGTGAAATGTGATCAGAGAGGTCACAGAGGAAATCCTATAGGACCTCATGGGCTAGCGGGCAATTTATGTCCCTCTGGCTGCAGGGAAAGGAGGTACCAGTGGAGGAGGGACACTGAAAAGGGGGCTCTTGTAGTTGTGCAAGTGAGAGATGACCTTGGCTAGGACTGGGATGAAAATGATACAGGTTGTGAGATATGGGTGGAGTCTAGAAGCATTTTGAGACTATGTTCAATGGTATGTTCTGGAGAACTGGATATGGAGGGGAAGAGAAAGAGGAGTCAAGGGATCTTCAAGAAGAGCTACCTCAGCCTGTGTCAGAACTCTCTGACCCCCCCCCAAGATTGCCCGACCCCTTATCCAAGACCACACTTCCTAAGCATTCAGTCCCTAGACCTCTGCCCAGGGCCACTTCCTCCATCCTTGAACTCTATACTCAGTATCCCTTCTCATTTTTGACTTCTCCACCTACCCCACCTACCATCTAGACCACTGGCATTTTTTGGATGGTTTGTTAACCCTTGACTTCCATCACCACCCCAGATATGTTATGGCTGGTTCCCAGCATAGCTTTCTAATTTGCACACGGATGGACCATCTAAGATATTCCAAGGGCTGTGTTCACTGTAAGGCAGGAGAGTAGAGTAGAGGCATGCCTCATTTTATTGAGATTCACTCTGTTGTGTTTCTCAGCTACTTCTGTTTTTTATAAAATGAAGGTCTGTAGTGACCCTGGTCAGAGCAAGCCTGTTGGTGCCATTCTACCAGGAGCGCTCACTTCATGTCTCTGTGTCACTCACATTTTGTTAATTCTCACGATATTTCCAACTTTTTCATTATTATTATATTTGTGGTTATCTGTGATCAGCGATGGTGACTGGCTAAAAACTCAGATGATGGTTAGCATTTTTCAGCAATAAAGTATTTTTTAATTAAGGTGAGTACATTATTTTTTAGACATCAGGAATTGCACACTTAATAAACTAGAATAGTACAATAGACTACAATAGACATCGGGAAACCAAAAAATTCATTTGACTCATTTTTTTGGCAATATGCACTGTATTGTGGGGGTCTGGAACTTAACCCTCAATATCTCTGGGGCACACCTGTACAGTGAAAAGATTGTCTCTGCCCTCCAGACATAGAAACCATTAAATGAAGTGTTGAACAGTGGTGTGACGGTGGCCCTTTCAGGAGACCAGTTACAGACAGCGGAAGAATCATAAGGGAAGGAGAAGTGGTCAAAGGAGAGGAGGGGACAGAAGTCCCCAGTCAGCAAATACATCGGGTGGCTGGGCCCAACCCTAGCAGCTTGCTTCAAAACAAGTTACGCTGGAATGTCGAACCCTTTCCTGGACTGGCCTGGGCTCAGGTGGATATTCTGGACATTTTGGAAGACTCCTTAATCTTGTCCCCCTGGGGCTTAAATTCAGAAGCCCACAAAGCCAGGCTGAAGCATAGCTTTAGCAAAGAAGCTGTGGTCAGGAACAAAGATCCAGTGTTGCCTGATTTTCTTAGTTTTTCAAGAAAAGCCAGAGATCCAGATTTTCATTTGATTTTCCCTAATTTTATTCATTGGAAGCTAGTGTTTAAAAATAATGTAAACACATTATTATGTGTTTATGTGTTTATTATAGGGGGAACGACAACACGAAATTGGTAGATAAGATATGGGCAAGCGGTTCTATAAGTTGGAGGTCTCCAGACCTACTGGAGCTGTAATCAGAGGCTAATATAAGGAGTGCCTGGGTGGCTTTATGGGTTGAGTGCCTGCCTTCGGCTCAGGTCATGATTCCAGGGTCCTAGGATCGAGTCCCGAATCAGGCTCCTTGCTCCATGGGAAGCCTGCTTCTCTCTCTCTCTCTTTCTGCTGCTCTGCTTACTTGTGCTCTCTCTCTCTGTCAA